ATATGCCGTCATGTTGGGTATGCGAGAAATGCTATTTATGAGAAAGTACAAATTCTGAATTCAGTGCATTACAGTTAGACAATTCGACAGCTGTTTTGTTCTTGGTATTTGTGTAATCTTAAGAGGTTGTTTGACAGTTACATACGGAAATTATGATTGTAAGGAATCAGAAGGAAAGATATTACTGAAAATGGGCCAGAAGTAATATAAGAAGCAACTCTTAAATTTTCAAATCAATTTCTCCACTTTTCATCATTTCTAAATATTCTTTATATATTTCTAGGAGGGTACTTGCTATTAACCTTAAAAAGTAGTCAAAAGTCTATCAATGTGTTGGTAGTGGCTTGAAGTAATTGCGTGTGAGTGTGTAGCTGGTAAAAATTAGCGGTAGTAGTCTGGTGGAATGGTGTAAAAGATAAATCATATATGCAAGCAGCATCAAAGAAAGATTACTGCAGTTTTAGTGGGGTTTGGAGACCATTGTGAGTAGTATTTGCACCGTTTTTGACTTCATCAATTGTCGCTAACGATCGCCACATAGCCAGTTCAGTAACGTTCTCTTTTGCGAATATTCCGTCAACATCACGAATACTACTCAACACTTCCATTCCATCAACACGCCTTACCTCCTTTTGCAAACACTTTATCAATTTTGTCAAACTGTCAAACTTTTCTAAAAATTTTTTGCTTTCAACATAGCTATTAATCTTGTTGTGAAAGGCGTGTGCTTAATGCATTACCTCAGCACTTTTCTTCTTAAATAAGGAATAGTAAGTCCCATTTTTATTTCTCAATAAGTATTCAGTGTAGTGCATTAACTGGATTTTTTTTTTCATAGTACTCGATTATTTTTATTAATATTTTAACTTAAACACACATTTACGGTACGTGTTAATCTACCTCTTCGTACAATTCGTACTTCTTATCATTCTTAATAATAAACACTTCATAGCGTTAACTTCCACATCTTTCGCATACAAAATCCCTCGTTTATTCATTTTCATCTCTTTTACCACTCGTTGAACATCTTCAAATTATGCTTTTGTTTAATTTCTGCTCAGTTTTTTTGATACTATAATATGCTGCGCTTTGCTTTTGATGTAATGATCATTTTTTTAATCAAAACTTTTATGAAGAGATAATCCTACTTAGATATTTAGGATTATTTTTTATTTAGTATATCATACTATTTCGAAGCAAATTTTTTGTGAAAAAAAAGTTTTTTGAAATACTGAAAAAGCATCAACCATTGAAGCGAATTTTAAATACAATCAAACTCTTTCTGCTAAGTAATTTGCTTTGTGACAGTGTAATCGTAATTAATGGGTTGGATAAGAATATTTTCGACATTTGATCCATTTGATCCAATGTTTTTACTCGAAAACATTCTAAGAATCAAAGATAGAAGAAGCCTACAAATACCCTTTTCAATTTCCACAACTGAAATTCCGAAATTTGTTCAAGATGTTTACTTTCACTACATTAAGCTAAAACTTTCTTCAGTTATAACTTCAAAAATGTCCAAATTTACTGTTTCATCAATACCATAAAAAATTCAATTTCGCTTTTTTTCGTGAAAAACTCAAAAATATTTGTGGATCAAATGTTGGTGTACTATATCCCAGTCTCTGCATCAAATTTTTGTGCATATTTTTGCTAAAAATAATTATCAAAATAAAAGTGTGAAGTGGATATTAGTCTCTATTTACACAATCTATAAACTTCTTATGCATCCTAAATGCCAACAACAAGCTCCCCTCTCAATTCTGAAGCAGTAGCTTGCTAAAAAGCTTGGCTTGATAAAAACTTAAGATTTACCAAGCTTATGAGCTTTGATAAGGATTCAGTAATCACATCAAGCGTTTGATTATTTATTAGTTCTAACAAAGATTATTGTAGCGCATGACCAAATAACTTACAGTTTCTGCTTCTGTCCACTGATTTCTTGGAATTGAATTAATAAGTGCCAGAACAATATTTTCGTTTCTCAAACTACTTATTAGGCTATTAATGCAAAAATAAATTTTGCTATCATTCAATGTGACAAAAAATTCAGTTGTTAAATAGTCAAAAATATAGGGCTAATTTGCAAGGAATGATTTCAAACTTATTTGTTTTGCCTCAGAAGCGAATATAATAGTTTCAGTTTCACTCTGTATTTGATTCTACTTTTCCAAAAGAATGAACCTGAACACCTGCATCTATACAATCTGTTACCAATTTATCTCGTAATTCTTTACATTAACATCGTCAGTAAGATTTTGTCATTAAGTAATATAAAATTAAGACTATGAAATCAAACAATTAAGACTATAAAAACTAGGAGTTTGCATTAACTAATATAAAATTGAGACTATAAAATTTCACAGTTTGACAGCTCATTGCTTGGCTACCAAATAAGTAACTATTCAAATTATGATTATTTCTTTAGTTATCATATTTATTATATTTTCCTCACTTTCTTACTTATTTAAGCATTAATAACAAAGTGTGTAAAAGTATTTCATCTTTTGAACAGATTTTTTATGTTTTGGATATTGCAAGAAATCTTTAAATAATGTGAAAATCAGAGAGGGGCTCGATGGCAACGGATAAATAAATAACATGGCTCTTCTCTCACTTCGAAGATCACACTCCTTCACAACTGCAATGATTTCTTGATCCAATCCTCCATTCTGAATACTCTCGCGAACAATAATTTCTTCGAGAGCTGCGATATTTGCAACTTTTTCCAAACTTTGTACCGCATTTTTCTTCCACTTGTCCTAATAGCCATTTTTCAACGCCATAGCGATTTGCTTCTCTTTCTTCCTTCAATTGTTGTTGGTTCAAATTTATTTCTCACTTTTATTATAGTATTTTAATACTCTGTATATTATTAAGATCATTATTTTGTTACTAGCAATTAATAGATAGAACAATACTGGTAGTAACATTGCTGTTTGAATTTGTTATCAAAAGACAAAATAAATTAAATGTAATAAAAATGGTTATATGTAATGCCTAAGTAAAAGAATTCTGTAAATTGGAAAATTCCGAGCTGAAATTTAAGAACAACCTTGCGTGTTCGTATGTTTTGTTCATTGTTAGCTTTGATTCACCGAGTTCATCCATGACCTAAATTCCTAAAAAAAGTGGCCCCAACCTAGGGAAAAGGCTGTTTAGTTGTACAAAGTGAGTTGTACAAAGTGAGTCAGTCTGAAAGTGTTAAAGAAATTCAATATATTTTCTGTTTAAGTAGTTTGTGAATTTTATCTAGTATTTCAAATTAATGTTCTTAAACAATGTTTCAGATCGTACACTTCGAACAATCTAGCGGCAAGAAGAGGAATGATAAGGCACCAAAAACCTATATATATATATATATATATATATTGAAGGTTATTACCTTTCTAAATATTTTCAAAATTTCTTACGACATTAATTTGTGGTTTTATTGCTCTACCTATTAATTTCGATCTTATCAAACAGATGAACCAAACTACGCACTTACAACAAAAATTGTTCTTCCCCGTTTCCCATGCTCATTTTCTGAAGTAAAAAATCTGAAAACATTCGTGGCAGTCAGTTCAAACATAAAAAACTTTCCTCGAGACATAGCAATAGAAAAAAAAGCATAAGCAGAGGAAACAAAGCAAGAAGTGGGGAAGCATCAGAAGAAACAATATACGATATTTTTAGAATATACTTGAAAATAAAAAAATATAGTTTCTAACATAGAGACAAAAATCGAAAAATTGCAAAACAATATTATACATATTACTATACATTAAAAAACAAAAAGTACAGAGTAAGAAAATACAATACGTAATGAAAATAAATATACAACAATCAACGAAAAATAATTCAAATAACTTTGCATACTGTTGAATCTTTTCTTGCCTTGTTCAATTTCAGTCACCTTCTATTGTATTTCCATGCCATTAAAATTTAGTCTAAATTGGATACGAATTGTAATACGACGTGAAATTAAATAAAAATACTACGTCAATTATCATCACAAAAATTTTGAAATCCTTTGTATAAGCGATTAAAAAAACTTTCTTACCTGATACGTAGAGATGACAAATCATTTCCTGCTTGCCAGTCATATCTAATTGGCCGCGCTTGACCCTTTCTTCTATCACTCATAATCGATTTGCGCGCTCTCGGACACCATTCGAGAATATACATTTCTACTGCTGCCTGTTTCTGTGGCCGAAAAGGTGGCAGGAAGGGTCAAGCAATGGTTACAAGAAGCACAGAATCCTAAAACGAATACGTGAATGGGAAAATGTTTTTGCAAAGAAAAAAAATTCTAATGCTCACCACTTTTCTGTGCATCTTTGCTGCATGAATGCGCCATCCCTTAAGTGTTCCGAAGTGACGCTTACAAATGCCGCAGACTGAAAATTTATTATATTTATTAGAGATTTATGTAGCAAATTCAAATCATACATATCTCCAATTTTTGCAGTTGCTTTTATTGAAAAAATATAATTACTCACTGATGAAGGTCTGGCCTCCATCGATCATAACTTCGTAGGTGCCGCTCGTTGGCTCTTTCTACTGCCCCCTAAACTGGTCCTGAAGACCTTCCGCACTTTCAACATAGAAGGCTTTCGGTTCCGACGGGGCGTCCTTTGATATGACAGGAACCGGCATCACAATTTCCTGTTTCTCCTGCAATGTAATTTTCCAGAAACGTAGTGCAAATTTATTTTTCTTCTTCTTTCAAGAAATGCCAAAAGTGAATAAACTTTCTACCACATATTTAAATATGAATACTTACAGGATTAATTCTCGGATTTCTTTCGTGGTTCCGCTGCTTCGTCAATTTCCAGTGAAATTGAAGCTTTTCGTTGCGGGCTCAGGCCGCTCTTCAAGTATGTTATCATCTGGAAGAGGGGCTCAAGCCGCTTCATCCTCATCAAAACACGGCTCCGCAGATGCTGGCTCTCCTGCCTCTTCCTGCTACTCCTTCTCTTCATTTGTTTCGCTCTCTTCATATAGCGCTAATATATCACGGAGACCTTCGCGCTAAAACGTTTATTTGAAATAGTAGGAGGCAAAACTTCAGTTTACAAAAAATTATTAATAATCGCTAGAATAAGCATCTCTGCATATTTAAATGTTAAATTTGGATTCACCAAATTTCAAAAAATGGATTTAAATAGTTGTGAAAAATGCACTAAAGAAAAAATACCTCCGTAGTTTCTCTGATGCAGTTTTGGAGGGCAATATACATGAGCAGGTAACTCTCCGAAAACTCCAAGACATCAAATATGGCTGGAGTACGATCAACCTCATGCACCATAACTTATCTGAAAATATTATTACATTTTAGTAGATTATCAACAAGAAGTCGGAATTGAAACGCATTCACGTGCAGGATTCTAATTTTGCTAAATACTTATAATTAATGTACTGAGACACATAGAAGCGATCAAACATTTATATCTCAAACGATTGTATGCAGGAACCGGCATCACAATTTCCTGTTTCTCCTGCAATGTAATTTTTATTTTTTGCCGTGAGAATAAACCACAATTTATTCTCACGGCAAAAAATGAAAAAAAAATGGAAAGAAACATTAAAAATCGAGCAAGGAAATGGCAATTTGTAGATCAAATAACATTATTATTAAGGCGCAAACATATAGAAGATACAAGTTTGAACTTGTTAATAACAGAAGCAGCTGAACAAGTGTAAGCCTTTTTGTCGACAGTGAAATCAAATAAAGTAATTGGCAGAGCAAAGCAAGAACTTTTATCCTTGTGTGTTGCTCACACAAGATTTATCTTCTTCACTTAATTAGCTGCACGTTTATCTTATTCTCTGCTCATTTCAGATTTATCTATTTCATTTGCGCGCGCGTAGAGATCTGCGTTCATTTGTACAAATAATTCTTGTAAACAGTCCATATTCTGTCAATGTTAACTATCTTTCATTTTCAAGCTGAGTTGGCTGTGGTTTATAAGTAAATGTTTTTAGGATAATATTAATAGTACAATCTTCGAGTTATTTTTCAAATTATATAATCTAGATAAAATTAAAAGTTCTTTTTGTTTAAGAGTAATACATTTGGAAACTTTACTTATTTTTAGTTTGAATTTGTCATCGGCTAATACAATTACGTAATTGCAGATTTTATTTAGTGTGTTACGATTGTATAGTTTCAAATTTTTTATTACGTATTCCAGAAGTAAATCTAAAATCACCACTGAAACAAACAAACAAAGTTCAAACTTTCAGTTCGATTTACGGATGTTTCTTCATTATTTTTATCTTCAAGAAATTAAGAAATTTTTGTTACACAAAGTGAGATGATTATTACTGCTAGCAGAAAATCAACGTTATTTAGTCTAATTCGTGGAGAATTACAAACATGCTCTTCTTGAATTGCGGTTACTGTTAGACTTTATAATTCAGAAAAATTGGGAATAGCTTGTTTTTTCAGCAAGGAGACGTTTGAATTTTTTGACATAAGGAACTTTGGTACTGAACGAGAAGGAAATAGGTATAACTGTCTTTTTTATGTATTTTATGGTAAATTGCTTCATTTAGCTACAAGGTTAATTATTATGTATGGCGGCAACACATGTGTTATCGTCATAAATTCGGTAAACAATACCAGTACAATTTCTGATTTAAGTTAGCCTTTGTTTCGATGGAAGCACGTTTTCTTTGATGAATGTAGTTTTGGCGTGTTACAGTATGAGATAGAAGATTTATAGATAACAGACAGAAAGTGTAACAACACTAATCAAAAAGATTTATCAAGCTAATCACTTTCCATTTATGTCAAGAACGGCAATTTGTATAAAGGCATATATATATATGGCTGGGGCCAGCGTGGTCGCAATGTCAGTTTGTGAGAGTTAAGCTAGACTTTCAAAGGAAACAGTTGGAATATTTTGGAATGGATCATTCTTTTGAGAAAAATGATAATTCTTGGCACTAGTGGATGAAGTACTCAGTGAGAGGTAAACTCCACTAGTCCATTCAATCTAAAGCTTTCCCCGAGACTGTCTGCCGTCACAAATTTTGCATTAGTCCCGCAGTTTACTGCAAGTGTGCCTGCCACGTACTACATCATGTGCCTTTTACATTTATTGTATGCTGCGTGTGAGTTCGTTGTACTTTTTTATCAGTTTCTCTGCTCTTCTGTGTCAACAATAAAAGTTTTCATTGTGTTTGGTCACATTTATGAGTAAGTTGCAATGTACCAAATATCAGAGCTACTCATAAATTGCGCTGCAATACAAATCTTAGAACGAGAAACGAGCATACAAGTCATCACTTCCTATTTATGCAAAAGCAACACCATCATGTGCAGTAGTTTTCAATTTACAGGCTCCTTGTTTATAAGTTAATTTTGGTAATGTGCTGGTTTTGAGCTGCAAAACGACACACTCATTAGTTAATTTTTTTTCTTCAGATTACCCGTAAATGGAGAGGCGCAATGTGCAAAGTTTTCGATATAGCGTACGAAACATAACAAACTATAATCAAAGTATAACGCACAAGCAAAAATATTAAAAGTGAATGCACAACAATGCTTAAAAATTAAATTATTATCACTAATAATCACCGGAAGATTTGAGAAATACCAATATCCAAATTGAATTCCACACTCTTTGTTGTTGGGAATTATCTGTGCATCTACTAAATTGGACATGTTTCTTGAGAGGCTTTGGACTGCTTCACGGAAGGACAAAGACAAGCACCATCTGTTTGGCATATAATTTTTTTGTAAGCACTGAGTGCAGCTAGTAAAATATCTAATACGTGTATTCGCGTATGTCCCATCAATTCGCCAAGATATGTTCAAAACACCTAAATATTTCTTGATATATTTTTGGACTTTCCAAAAATTGCTTTTATTATATAAAAAGAAATAAGTTTCTTTGACCTTTAGCATTTCTACGATACACTGTTAATACTAGCTCCGAAGATAGCTTTTAAGAGGTATTGGTTTCAAAGAACTGCTTTTACTTTTAATAAAAAATCTTTTTAGCAAAGAATTTTTAGTCTGCTCAAAAAGAAATTCTTCTACAAAATATAAAAATAAATAAACTCAAACAACTTTTTGACATTATGCAGTTTTATTTAAAATATTACAGTCTCTTTATTTGCGTTCTTTGAACTGAATACATTGTTTTTAAATTATAACAGTCTTCAGGAAATTTTTAATTTTGTTACAATCATTTTGTTACAGTGTTAATAACATGTTATTGAGGTTAGTCAACAGCAGTTATGTGTATTGTCAGGAAAATTTTGTATGCTTTAATCCTTAAAGATCACATAATAAAATTGATAATGAAATTGATAATGTCAACTATTATTAATGTAGCACACCGGTTAATATAACATGTTATTACCTTTTCAAATTTATATTATTCTTTGTAAAATTCCTTTTTTCCCTTCAATTTTTCACCATTTTTTTTGTTAGATTCGAAGGAAATTCGAAACGTAGTCTTAGAATCTTCACTTCGTTTCACTATCTGCAGTCATATTCACAGTAAGGAAAAAAAGTGGTCTAGTTTTAAAAATTACTGAGAATTTTCAAAGATTTCAGCTTCCAGTTACAAGAAATATTTTTGTGAATTAAAGAATAATTTATTAATCTAAGATTCTAAAAATGAATAGCAAAATTTTGATCACTTTATTTTAAAATAGTAAACAAGTGAATAAGTGAATAAAAATAGTGAATAAAATAGTGAATAAGATTTTTTTTTTCCAATTCTTAGACTACTACTGCTATCAGTAATATTCATTTTTGATTTAACTTCAACCATCTGTAAGATTTCATTGACGATTCACCTTTATGTAAGTTGAAAAATTATTTTAATTACAAAAGAACAGCAAAAGCCATAAAAAAGTTAGCTTCTTAGCATTTTTGAATAAAGAAAAGTCTTGGTCCCTGAACATTTGTCGTTCTCTTCAGACATAGATTACATTACTTAATTTCGCCTCAGCAGTCACAATGTGAATGATTTATTTAGCTCTGCAAAACTACAGAAGGCATTTATCGGAAATTCTTAATGAAATCTCATGTCAAATTGCTTCTGTTATTCACGAGTTGTATAAAGTAGGTAATTTAAGATTTAGCTGTCCAGTTACCTCAATAATTTTTATTAAAAACAGATTTTTTTCGATCTTTTGCATGGACTGATTTGAAGAAGAGGCCGTTACTTGTAAACAGGTGTCTTTTGGTTGTCTAATTCATAATCTTGTTTAAAAAAGTAGCGTAATTATCAGCTTGCTTTCAAAATTGGTACATTTGCTTTTGAACAATTGCGAAATGGAATCATTCATAAAAAATCTGAGAAAAAAATTTTCGAGAACTGCAGACTTTGCTTTGGCTTTTAGATAATATTTTAGCAATTCAAATAAATTCATAATAATCAGTTTTGTGCTACCATTGACGTATTACTGCTATGAACTTCAATGTAAGCAGCTTTGCTTTGTTTCTCTTCTGGAAAAAACTTGCACAATTGCAGTTAGACTGCAACTTCAAGAGAAATTTGTCTACTTGGATGTGCATCTTCAAAGCACATAGTCAAAACAGAAATTATATGTTCACTGCTTAGTCTAAAATATGCTGTGAGCTAATTTTTATTGTTTCACTGATATGTTTCTTCCATCTTTCTTGATTTCAGTCAAGGTTATGCAAATTTTTGTGGAATGAGTAGATAAAACGTAGCTAGTGAACTTTCACCTAAAACTGATATACTCTTTAGTCTTCTGCAGTGACGGTAAGCTGAAAAATTAAGTTTCAGTTGATGTTTCTGGTGATAAAGATGCTTTTTGCTTTTGGTTGTTAAGTGAACTGAAAAATTGCTTTTTTCTGATAGAATAGTTTATTTTTGATTTCAGTTCTGAAAGTGAGATAATAAAGTATTAATATTATAGAAGTTAGAAGATTAGCTTCTGAAAATGCGCATGTTTACTGTTCAGTTTCAGTTTCTATCATATATCATTATTTCATGAGGCTGTATCTATATTATAAAAATAATTATTAATTTGCTACATTCAAGAAAGCTACTTATTTATCATGCATAACATCTATAATCGCGATATCCCATTTAGAAAACTTTCTTTATGCAAAAGCTAGCAGGTAATTAAACATCTCTTGAATAACGTGTTATGACAAAATGAGCCATATAAAAATTTGTCAGTGAAATAGACCATAACTTTCAACTTTTTAGATAAAGCTTTTAAATAACTTTTTAGGAGAAATTTTTTTAAGGGTAATAATTTCATTTAAAGAACTACAAACGGAAGAATGAACTTTTCGTTGATTATATTTTG